TTTACTAAATAATCGGTTGACAAAAATAATTATATACGTGAAATAAATAATGTTTAGGAATGCTTATCTTTTTCGGATTTTGGACAACTTGTATTTTTATTAGAATAAACAGTTTCGAGAGCATCCTTAAGCAAACATGTGAAATCCCAAAATGGATATTATTTTACAATTTTATACAGTTTTTTCTGTAATTTAAAATCTTCATCAATGAAATCTTCTAATTAAAAACTAAAATAAAACAAAAATAGAAGGAGAATAGCGTATTTTTATAATCACATTATTTTAAACACTAAGAAAGATTGAATGGTAACACTCGAGGTGGATTTCATGAAAAATTGAAACCGGGCGAACCTCATTGCAAAGAAAAAATGAAAAAATAAAGGACAACTGACCCCAAAGGCGACCTGCGGTCTGCGGGTACTTTAAACACCTAGAGTTTTGTCGTGTCCTAACTAAAACTAAGTGGGAGGAAGTAATAAAAAATTTAAAATAAAATTGGGAGAGTTTGATTTTAATAAACAAAAATTGCAGAAATTAATTAGGTTTTTAAAAAGTACCAGCAGACCGCAGGTCGCCTTTGGGGCAGTTGTCCTTTATTTTTTCATTTTTTCTTTGCAATGAGGTTCGCCCGCTTTTATCTTACTAAGAAAGATCAATGGTAATTTGACATGATTGATTATTTAAAAATATATGACTAATTTAAGTAGTTATTTTTAAAATTATTTTTATAAGTAATTAAAAGTTTAACTGTTAATTTTGATTTATTAATTTATTTATTTCATTGCAGAAAAGTGTAAAACAAACCAAAACATTATATTACAATTATCTGATCTTTTTAAAATCCATTAAGCAAAGGTCTCAAATTATATTCATAACTTGTGTGCATTGCAGGTATAATTTAAAATGAGTTGTAATTGTTTAGTCAGCCGCTTTTAATCAACAATATCAACGTATCTTTTTAATCAACATGCAATCGTGAATTTCATAATCTACATTATTTTTAATTTGAAAAAAAAATGCAGGACTGACATGCAATTCCGGTTTACAATTTTATTGAGAAGGTTGAAAATGTCCAATTTATCTAAAATAATGTTGATATCAATCCAATAAAAAGCACGTTTTGCTGAAAAAGTCGGCTTTTTCAATGTAGGTCAACGTCTAAATTTTGGTGCCACCTCGTCTCGTTTCTCCTGCTTTAATAAATTTTGTGCCTGTTGATCGATTCCGACTGTGAATGGATATCGCCGCACTCAATCGAGAGTGGAAAAATGAATGCAAATATTTGTGCATCGCGACTCAGCACGTCGTCGCGCTCTTTTTTTCATATATAATATATTCTGTTCTTTTGTGTGCGATCTCATCACCGGCGGGCCACACGGTTATAATAATAAATCCTCAACTCGTGCTGGCTTTCTTATGCCCGCTCTCAGTCAGTCAGCGTGCAGTGTGGGTTAAAAATAATTGCTTTGGAGTCACTTTCTAATAACATTCTGGCCGCTCACTGGCGCTCAAGAATTTTAATCTTTCCACTCTCTGCCTTTTTCTTTCGCCCTCGTGCTCGTCGCCCACCAATTTATCGGCTCGAGCCTCGCGGAAATCGCGCTTTTTATTCCTCGACGGTCATTGGGAAAGTTTTCGACGATGGCCTAACAGCGCCGGTTTGTTGTTGTGAAAATAATAATTATATTCATCAATGAGGACTTCGTTTTTATTACGCCGTGTTTGTGCAGTTTTAATAACAAGGCAAAATTGCACTTCTTTGAATAAAAGTTTAAAAGTTTAAAGTTTATGATTAAAAATATATATTTTTTATACTTTTTACTTTCATATAATTTAGTTGCAAATTGTGTTTTGCAAAAACTTAAATTTATGTAATAAACCCTTAAATGAATTATATTTATTATAAAATAAAAACTAATCATTGTAAATTACAAGTTACAACAAAAGAGCAAGATAAATATTTAAGTATGTTTATGCAAATAATGCCTGGATATTCGAATAAATTTATTTTCAGTTAATTTAAACGTTTTTTCATAAAATTTTATGAAAATATTATTTTTTTCTTATCATTTTGTGCTTAAATTATTGTTTGTCACATTCATTGGTACATCAAAAGATGTGAATTTTATTTCAGTGCTGATTATCTTGATTCAAAATTTCAAATTGTAAGATTATCAGCAGAACCCGCTGATGAAAGATTAGATTGATATTTTCAATATTTTGGTTTTTAACTTAATTCCTCTCTTGCTTCACCAGAATTTTCCATTACCACACATCTCATATAATGTGATTTAAATTATTGAATGTAGAATTATTCCGAGGACAATAATGCATAATTAAATCAATCAATCATTATCCAATAAATATTTCCAAAATTATCTGAAATTGAGTAAACACCGTTCTTCAAAGTTGAGTTCAAAGATAAATCAAGGGATCCAACTTCAGACGTGCAACGCATCGTCAGCTTCGACTGCAAATTCAAATTTTTGGATGCGTTCCAGCTGGGTAAAAGGTTGATTGAACTCTAATAGCAGCCATGAACGGCCTATTTCTTCTAAATTTGGACAACCTAGGACGTGTATTACTCACACCTACGATCGTTCAAACAGATATTTAAACCTTTAACAAAAATCGGCCGGATTGTAGAGAGATTTTTTTGTATAGTTGAGAGCTTTGAAATTTCTGGACGCAGCCGGCCGCGCGATCCGGGTCGTCTGGCATGCAGGCCGCTGCTGATAAAGGGCGATCGGACGATGCACGCAGCAGCCAATCTCAGTCGGTCTGGACGCGTAGAATGAAATATAAATATACGTATAAAATGCGATAAAAACACAGCGCGAGAGAGCAGGCAGGGAGCACGCGGAGAGCAGGCATTTATTAACAAGCAGTTAGGTCAGCGCGCGCGAGAGAGAGTATTGAGAGGGTATAGGAGGGCTGCTTGTATTGGTTAGAGTCGGTGCTAGGCCCCAGAAATACCTCGCTATTTTGAGCTGAGGTGTAACGGTAGCCGCGAGAGAGCCAGCGGAGAGACGCGAGGAGCGAGGCAATGCTTTTAATACCGCCGCGCCTGCCTTCGTTTGCATTCGCTCGCCGCGCCGTCCTTTCCGCTCGCCGCGCGCTGCATTTTCGCACCCTTTCCTTTGTGCTTTTTAGACGAGGCCGTGCCACAGAGATGACTCGGGCTAATTATAATATACCAATTGTGGTGAGAAAGGAAGAAAGAAAGGTCGCTCGTTGGTAATAATTGCGCGCGCCTCGTGCTATTTTTACGCACCTTCGGGCTTTAAAAAGCCAAATTATGCTAATTAATGAGCTAAAAACGGCACTTGCACTACAATTATACGCGCGTTTTGTCCGAACACGAATGCCGGGGGGCGGCCGTGCCGTCGTTGTCTGGCGCGTTAATTTCGACCGCTTGAGAATAACCTGTCTGAGACGGCGAGAGAGGGGTTCGAGATCGGTAAACAAAAAGAAATGATTAAAGTGCTGAAAATAAATTTTTGATCAAATTATCTGTTTTGTGACGGACGTTCATTTGACAAGATATGCCAGAGTGGTTTTCACAATAAATGTTAATTGAAGCTAAAATTTGAGTCATTATTGATATAATCCTTTTTATTTATAAAAAAAGTTTGATAATCAACTTGGAAAAAGTCCAAATTAATTGTAAATAAGATAAAGAATTGGAAGAGGAATTCAGAACAACAAGAAATAATCGGTTGTTCACCAAAATGCCAATAATTTTGATTGCAAATTTTGGACTGTGTGTACAGGAATAATTTTTACTACAAAACCTAATTCCCAGAAGCACTGCAAATAGAAATAATGCGTCAATAATAGTCCTCTCGTAAAAATGTGCAAAGAAAATTGCACAATAAACACCGCAAATTTACGGCCGCCGCATTATTAAAATTAAGCCACCGGAGTCATTAACTGCACAATAATAACTCTGACGGCCGTAAATGACCCTCTAATGGATCACTGGCCGGAGTTTGCTTTATACAACCGGAACAAAAACGCACTCAATTAGTGTTCGAGTCACGCCGCGGGGTGGCCATTCTCGGACGAAGGTGCACTCCCGAGCGTTGCTTTAAAAGGGGCGGCCTCATTGTTGCCAAAATATGCAGACAACAATGAGTTGGCGTGCGAATGACGTCAGCACGGATCCGGCGAGGTGGCGAAAGAGGCGGGTGGCTCTGCCCCTGTTATAACTCGCCAACGAGCTGTCCTGCCGTTCGTTCTTTGGCCGCGGCCGCAAATCCGTCCGCTCCCGAAAACCCACGGAGTATAATAAAGCTTCGCGGAAAACGCTGTAAAAATCGAGAAACTAATCAGAAAAAAAAACAAATAATTTAGCCACACGCCGAGCCCCGGTAATCCCCAGCGTCTCAGCAAGTGACCTTGACCTCCATTCAAAAAAGCCGCAGTGGATAAAGTTAAAAGTTGTTTTACTTTTAAATGCTCCAAACCTTAAACCACCTTCAAAATATTTAGTATTTAAACCTCTACAAGAGAGAACTGATTCAACAATTATTGTTGCAATATTTGGTTTATTTTATCATTTTTTTTGTTATATTGCAAATAAATCAATGAAATGTATTTTGCAGAAGTTTCTAATTTCAATATGAAACATTTAATTTTTGTAATTTTTTTATTGAAAGATAAAAGAATCGTGCTTTTACTGCTTTCATTATTTTCTTTCAACTGCATATTTAGTGCATGTAAGCGACACGAGAAGAAATTTCTCGCACTTTTTCTCAGAAGGTTCCAATTTCAATTGTGTCTGACTCAAAAGGGGTGAATCTCGTCGCCGCAAAGCCAGGGGCGAACCCTTTGTTTTTCTTCACACTTTGCACGACGCGACTCGAGATGAGTCTCATCGAGGCTCCCCATTTTCTCGCAGACAACGAACGCACTTGCTCTCGTCAGTGTAATTGGAGCAAGACTTGTGTTTGTTATGTCGCACTAATTGGATGCGTGCGTGCGTGTGTGTGTTGCAGGCACCTTCCAAGGGCAGTGGCTGCGGGGCATGCGGCACGGCTACGGCGTGCGGGCGAGCGCACCTTTTGGCCTGGCGTCACACTACCGACCCACCAAACAACTCAGGGCCTCGATGACATCGCTGAGGAGCGACAACGGTGCGGGAGGCGTCACCGACCCTGCCACCGAAAGGGACCGAAGGGTGGACGACTCGAGGGGCGGTTTCGTGCTGAAGGCCAGGAGCGACGACCCGCCTGTCCGAAGAAGATCGCTCGTCGAGAGCTCGAAGAACTTGAAAAAGTCCATTCTCCAGGTGCGACCCAAATACAAACATATCAAAGCAGAAACTCTTACTTCCGTCTTAAAGAAGCTATATCAATATGTATTGAAAATAAAAAGAAAGTTGATAAAATATTAAGCAATTAAAAATATTTAAAAATTTTTATTTAAAAAATAAACATATAAATAATTTTATTTCACTTATTGACTGTGGCAGAAATCGGCCACAAAGTGCCATTCATAAAAGTTGTTGGAGAATTTTTATATAAATCACATTTAAGAGACCTATTTAAATTTTATTTTTACTTCTTTTCATTTCATTCTTATTCTTGTCATCCCATTTGAAGCAGTTTCTTTTAAAATTAACAATCTCCGCTCCTCCGCTTTCTTTCTTTCTTTTGATTATAATGTTCTAATTGCTGCAGGGTCTGAAAATGAGGAAGCAAAGATCAACCGGCGACCTGGAGAAGCGAGGCACGTCGGCCAGTCTGAGATCAACAGGCTCGAGTGCCTCCTGGGTGAGCACGGACTCGGCCCACTCGGCGGTTACTGCTGGTTCGGTACATACAGACTCGAATGCGAGCTTTGTAGTAGAGGTTAGACCACTTTAGCTTTCTCTAGACTCACAAACTGGGGCAGCGCGCGACCGCGGAATAATTATTATTATTATGAGAAATGTGTTTTTCGTCGCAAATAACGAGTTCGGAGGCTATTTTCACCGCTACCATTGAAACTTTCAACAGCTAATACGGCTCTATTTCGTTTCAATATAAAACTTGTTACGCTTTTTATTTCACTGAATGTAAATTTATTAGGCTGCCACGGTGATTCTATTTTAGTACTGTGAATAAAAGAAAAATAAGCTGCTGTTTAAAAGTATCATTTCCTTCGAGAAAAATAAATATCATTGTAGTATTCAATTATTCTCTTAAAATTTCAGTTCCCTTTTGATTTTTTTTTATGTTTACAAATCAAATAATATCAAGTAGACTGTTTTTAATTTTGGAGCACAATTTTTTTATCCAATTATTCCTAATTATAAAAGCAAATAATGGAAATTTCATTTTATTCAGCGCCTGCCCAGTTGAAAAATAATGCTCATTATCATTCACTAGTGACTAACGAAATCACTTTTTTTTCCTTCCTCCACTGACCATTGTGGCCGCAGGACGAGCAGATGGACACGAACGTGACCGAAACGTACATGGGCGAGTGGAAGAACGACAAGCGCAGCGGTTTTGGCATCAGTGAGCGCTCCGACGGTCTCAAGTACGAGGGCGAGTGGTTCAACAACAAGAAGTACGGCTATGGCGTGACCACCCTGAAGGACGGCTCTCGGGAGGAGGGCAAGTACAAGAACAACGTGCTCATCACCTCGCACAAGAAGAAGCACCTCTTCCTCATCCGCTCGGCCAAGTTCCGGGAAAGAATCGATGCGGCCGTCAATGCCGCCCAGAGGGCCTCGAAAATCGCCCTGCAGAAAGCTGATATTGCTATTTCCAGGTAATTATGGAAATAATAATATAAAAATTATTATTAGTTAAAAAAATTAGAATCTACCACTTTCCGTCCCTCTTTGTTATGAATGATTTTCAATAAAATAGTCTTAAATATTAATTGTTTTAACCATATTGTTAATTTTAGTTTTCATTTTATTACTTTTAATTAAATTTTATATTAATTTTATTTTTATATTGTAATTTATACTTCCATATTAAAAGGGTAATTATATTAATAAATATAACTTTATTTCTAGAACTGCAACAGCCAGAGGAAAGGCTGAACTTGCGGATATGGCCGCAGAACATGCGAGAGAAGACTCAGACATTGCCAGAGCGACGGCCAAACAGTTTGCTCCTGACTTCCAGCAGCCAGGTTACTCAATTTTTTCTGTGTTCATAGATCATAGCTTATTTTTTGTAATGAAGCAATAAAAAAAATATTACATTGGCAGTGTCAATTACAATGATTTGCTGTTTTTCAGGCCTGGAAAAGTTGCGGCAACTGCCCAAGTACCGGCCGACGATTGAGCCGATTCAGACCAAAGCGCAGTTGCAGCAGCAGATGCAGCTGCAGGAGCAGCAACACGAGCTGCAAGCCAAGGTGGCCTCGGCGCTGCCCCCGTCCCTCCAACAGAACCAGCACCAAGCAACGCCCCCGCGACCCGTCCCCGTCGCAGCAGTGCCACCTCCTGCCCCCTACCAATCCCAATACGCACCCCCTCAGCCGCCGCCGGCGCGCGCCCCCTCGATACCGCCGCCGGAGCCGGAACCCCAGGCGGCCTACAAGCCCCTGGCCAACAACCTGGAGAACGGCGAGTTGTCCGTTCCCAAGCAGCTGGGGCCCAACCTGCGGCGGGGCGGCACGGCGCGCGGCACCGAGCCCGGCGTCGACAACCCCGCTTACAGTTTCCAGCAAGCAATGAGTGATCACTTTGACCATTACAAACGCGCCCCGAGCAGAGACAGTTCTGTGGACCGGTACACCAGGGCGACCAGAATGTCGCGGCAGCCGTCGGCCGAGGCGCCCTCGATCGCGATGGCCGCCAACCTGGCGGCGGCCGCCGGCAGCACCACCCCGCTGCGGGGCCGCACCCCCTTTGGCCGCGAGGGCAGCGTCGAGCCCTCGAAGCGTGTGTTAATGTCGCAGGCCTCGACTGAAAAGGTGCCCCCCAGTAATGGGTCAGTGATCGGTGGTGACCAGTTTGGCGTGCAACCGCCCTTCGAGGACATCATCATGAAGAAGAAGTCGCTCGGACAGGACATTATCCCCTCGCTGGCCAACCCCAAGCGCACCGAGAGTTTGTTCGTCAACGTCAACAGGAAAGAGCCTGCAGTCAAGGTCAGTGAAATCTAATTTTTTTTATAATTTTATAAAATTAATTTAGTTTTTGTTGTTGAATTTTTACATATATTAATGATATTTAATATTAATAATTTAATAAAATTTTTGTTTAAATTTTTTTCAATCAAATTGCTAAAGAAAGATTTCATAATTTTCTCTGGATAAAATGGACTTTGCCAGCAACATTAAAGTGTTTAAATTTCAAATTAACGCAGAGCAAGATTATTGCCCATGATGTTATTATTACATTGAGTCTGGCCTTTCAAAAGGTCCGATGTACAATTTAATTTGCTCGTTCACAGCAATGAGGAAGCGCAAAATGGAATTAATCACGCTCTCGCTAAACGTGCACAGTACAATAATAGTCGTTGACAGCGCACGAAACGGACACGAAATGCCATGTTGAGTGAGTCAGCGGCGCATTCAGCGCGGCTCCTGCAATGAGCTCGTTATGCAATCAGTTGATCCGACGTGTTGCGCCGGTTGCATAAGCGCTTCAGCACCGCCGAGAAGTAGTTATTGGGGCAGGTGGGGGTCGTAGGTAGGATAAGTGAAAGAGATCTGCGCGACGGCAATGAAAGGGCGCTCGGCTCCTTCTCTCGGCCATAAAATGAAAGAGAGAATGTCTATTGTCACTTTCAGCAAAAATAAAAAGGAAAGCAAGGGATTGGCGAAAAAGCGACCGACGGGGACAGAGTTGTTAAAAAGTAGTGTCGCCACACAGCGGCCCACTCTCTGCCAAAGAGAATATGCCAGAAGCGTGTGAGAGAGAGACAGAGATGATATTTGCGTTGGTCCGACGACCGACCGACCGACTCTTTTAAATAAAAAAATAAAATAAAGGACTCTAATTGTACAACACACAGAGACGCGTCTGTAGTGGGACGTAGGCGCAGTGCCTATCGCGCTTTTTTATTTATTTCAATATTCATAGATATTTCGTGAGAAGAAAAATGCAAAAATTCTTTTGACACTCGGCAAAATATCTCTCAGTCCAAAGCAAAATTGAAAAGCTCAAACAATTTATTTATAAAAATTTTATAGCGATAGTTTTCCCAACAATAAGTATGAATTGTAATTTTTTTCTACTCTCTTTCTTGTTTTTACTACATATGTTGCACATGGGGCGCGTCGCAATAAGTCATTACATTGTGGTGACGCCTCATAAGTCAATAAATACCAATAATAATTTAATATCTCATTAAAATTCAGAAGTTAAATTATATTTCAAGTAGTTGCATATTGAACGTTGAACTGCATTTTAATATTTGTATCCGTTTTAACTCTAATTGTAAGAAGTTGAAAAATTACAAACTTGCAATAAACGCGCACATCATTCTTTGTCTGAGCTGTGACACGTCCTTACTGGTGCGCAAAAAATATGATTTAGACTCGTCTGTCATTCATGTTCAGGGACACGCGTCCGAGATTCTTTCCTTGCACGCCAGAAATGATCAAAAATAGCCTCGCGAGTCATCCCTTTGTTTTGACGACTGCGCTCGCGTTCGCTCGCTCGCACACAGAATCAGATAAACAGAAAAATTCCATTTTTGAAATCTCGGCCTACTCATCTGGGTGCTGTAAAAAAATTTAAAAAAAAAACTAGATTTTTAGAGCCGCTCACTCGCAGGCCCTCTTGCTGCCTCTTTAGGAGGAAGTGACAAAGTTGTCGAGACAAAAATCCGCGGTTCCGCGAAAGATTAATTTACAATGCGGTGGGCGTGTATTCTGAAACTTTCTGCAATGCTTAAGGGGGTCGCCGTGTGACAATTAGGGTAAGGTGGGGCGGCAAAAGGAGAAATTCTTGGCAGCGCAGGGGCTGCTTGGCAGCGCGCCTCGAAGGATAACAGACACAGGTCTAAAAGCAGCCGCTCGGCGTGAGACTAGAATCGCCGGCGTGCGTTTAGTCGCGATTGTTGCGGCCACTGGAGCGTTCAACAATCGAGCTAAGTCATGTCGTGGGAGCAGTTCCAGGACGAGGTGGCCCTCGAGGAGGAAGCCGACCTCGCCTTCAGCCCGGCGCTGATGGCGCGCAGGGCCAGCGAGAGCTGGATCAACACTCCGCCGGCGCTGTTCGAGGTATGCCACGTTAGCGCCGCCCGACGGCCTGTCCGGCGCTCTTTTGCTCGCTCTCTCGCGTGCTATTTCCGGACGCACTCTCTTTCTTCTTCTGCTTACTTTATTCTTGCTTATTGCGCCACCCTTTTTGCCCCCTGCCACCCCACTGACGAACGCGCCGGCCTTCTGACTCATACCCGCCAATGGGTTTCGCGATTTTTGGGGCGAATCGAGCATAAAGTGATTCACGTGAAGCGTGTTAATTAATTTTGTGCTCATCGTCACCGTTTTCAATTATTTGCACTGCGTAAAATCCATTTTATCCAACAAAAACGTCACGTTTCTAGCTTAAAATTTACATTAAAGCTGGTTACAATAATTTACAATAAAATCTGATAATACAAGAGAAAATCTCAAATAAAATGATTACTTTAGAGCCTCGTATATAGCGGAGATGTAATAAAATACAAAATAACGTGTAGGCCAAGTTAAAAATAAAATATTTTTTTTAATTGTGTCATCCAACTTTTTGTTTTGAATTTTCCAAACAGAATATTCCTGTTGCAACGCCTGTGCAACGCAAGAAGTCCCTTCCTGACGTGCAGACGTTACCTCGCCAATCGGAACCAATGTCCAGAGAGGAGGCCTCGATTCTTAGCTCGATGCAACGAGAAACTGTGAGGAGACGCATAGAGGAGGACGAGAAGCTTAGGGCCAATCCTCTTCTTTGGCTTGTCAGTCCGCACGTTAAGGTAAAGTTCCTTTAAATCTCCACGAAATTCCTGCTGTTTCAAATGCGTGAATTGAAAAGCCAACAATATTTAACAATTATTTAATTCTATCTCTTGTCAGTTTGAATTTGAATAAATTATTATTGTTATTTGGTTTCAGGACTGGTTTTCGCGTCAGCAGTTGGTGTTTTTGGTTCTATTCATCAACATCTCGCTGGCCATAATGTTCTTCAAGCTGCTGACATAAGAGCGGCCAGCCGCACAAGAAAAGAACCGCATTCCGCCCGAAGAGAACCCCGTGTTGCGAGCATCGGGTGAATCCGTTGGAACAGAACATTTGTCGATAGCAAAACGCGCAGTATATGACGCTACCAGCGGTCCAGTGTTGGGCCCTGCGGTCGGCTGATTTGCCGAGAGAGTCGCTCGAGAGACGCCCTCGGCAAATCAGCAACGCACAGAGGAGCCTCGGACAGAAAAATAAGCAGAAAAACTATCTAGCGAACTGGACTGATAAAGACACATCACTTCTATAGATTTTGTTACTTGAATTGAGATGCTGGAAAAACGCAGCTTGATTATATGATGAGTTGAATCTTAGTCAGCCGACCTTGTTTGTAGCATCGCACAATGCGTGTGAGGATCCCACGCGTTAATTCTCCTTGTTGAAATTTATATCGAAAACACGACTCGCTCTCGGAAAAAAACTGCAGTGAGATTTTCTTCCTTGGCCGTTTGCTCTAAGTTAGAGTGTTTATCACTAGTTGCAGTTTTCGGGAAAATTGCCGCCACTAGGACAGTGTTAATTGCGCACGATTTTGTACTGCTAGCGTAAAGAGCGAGTCTTAATATAAATTCCTTTCAAAGAATGGACTACTTATTCAAACGAATGAAAAATATAAGTGAGAAAAAAATTAGACCTAGAGGTGAAAGTTTGCTCAAGTGGTTCATTTTTTTCTTATAATAACTTCCCTTGTAGTGTTCTCTCACTTACTTAATAGTACCAGAATTGGCTGAAGTTTTTTTTTTAATAAACTCAGGTTTGCGTTTGTATGAATGTGAGATTCTCGAGAAGATTGATATTTTATGGCTGTGCAAGTTTTACGTTACACTCTCCTGATTCAGTGCTGGTTTCTGTTTTGAAAATGTGTGGAGATGACGCGCGCACTGTGGGCAAAGGACGATTTATATTCAGAGTGTGTAAGCCAATGACAAAGCGCATATTATATACTACTTTTCATATCACAAGCAAACAAACCAAATACCACATTACGCAGCTTACTGACTTTGACTAAAGAAGTTCCACTTTGGCCAATTTCCTGTGTGAAAACATATAATAATTAATTGTTTCCAAATTTGCGTGCCTTCTTATCGTGGATAATTAATTATGGGGATCTTATTTGTATTTTTCTGTGAAATGGGACCTAAAATCTAATCGCGAGTGCAAGTTGAGAGTTGATTGATTTGAAACTGATTGAGATGCGAGCAGACAAAAATCCATTGACAAACACAAACACACATTCATCTTTCCATTAAAGGCTGCATTTTGCACAAAAATTTTACACAGATCTATAGTGAGCACACATGACGCTGAGAGTCGAAGAGATGCTGCTTCTTCTTAAAATTAAACTGACAATATAACTCGTTGGAAAACTAAATTTCAAAATGAAAAATAAATACATACTCGCCGCGTGCTTTTTGATGGTGTCACAAACCACTTCTTGTGACGATCAATATAATAATTAAAAGATGGGACAAATTTTGCTTCTAGAAAAAGAAATCACAATGTACCAGTCTCGAATTTTCAGGCTGAAAACGAGTATAGGAGAAGAGTATTCTAGATCGGCTTTCTCATGATAAATGTAGTATTTGTTAAAACTTCAAAGTTTGAACGCTCAGAATTTTCAACTGAACTGAAAACAGGTCTTCTTGTAAAATTAAAAATTTCGGAAAGGAAGCAATTCAACTGGCTAGACGAGTGTCTTTACTCGATTGCAAAGGGAAAATTCTGGGCTGACGGTATAAAATATGGATTACATTGAAATTTGGTCACATTAGAACAAATTAAGCGAATTGGCTCTTGTGGATTTTTGACTCCATGACGGCGATTTCAAAGCTGGACTGATTTATACTACTACACACGTACTTGAAAAGAAGCTTGTGACTCGGACCGTTTGCGCCCAAATCCAGGTCCTGCTTTTCCTAAATTATTGTTGGGAGGCGCGAACCGCCTGAGCTAGCTAGCTAGCTTGATATTGCCTTTTCATCTGTATCGATTAATTGATTCATATTGATGTAAAATTGAACAAATATTTGTGCAATGCCGCATAATTTGGACAGAGAGACGACGCAAGATGTAAAAACATAAGAACTGTACACAGACCGAGCTGTAAAATTATACATGTATATCTCAAAAAAACACAATTTGTGTAATTAACTGAGACGCATGCCAGTGTAAATAATGATTTAATAATGTTACATATAATTAACTTATTGTAATAATTGATTGTATATGCACTGATTGATTGTCCGTCAATTTTCTAAAAGGCTTCTGGAACATCAACAACTGATGACGAGTCTATTGGTAAATTAAGAAAACAGTGATACTGTTAAAAACAAATATTCAAGTGCCAAGTAGAGCGAGGACAGCTGCAGAGGTACACATTATTTAATTACTTATTAGTTCTACGAGCAAGCGCACTTCTTCATTAGAAAAATATTTATTATTGCCACTTCCTTAAGAGACTTCTTTTTTTTTCATTTCACGATTTTTTCGGTTTTCAGACGTAGTGTGGCAGCTTGGCAGAGAGACGATTGCTGGTTTTCTTGTAAAATATTCTCTTTTTTTGTAATTCTCTTCTTTCGACCCATAACTCCACATAATTCACCCCTTGTCACTGTGTTGGAGTCATTTTATTGCTACCCATTAATTTACCATTCCTCACTTTGTTCTGATGATAAGATATGCTGCTAAAACAGAATTTGGTTGTCTCTTTTAAGTGTATATATGATCTGGCTGATTGAAGAGGAATGCTATAACATTGTAAAGTAAATTTTGTATGGTCAAGTTATCTTCTTTAAGATTTTATTTCCCCGTGAGAACGCCTTCCTTCAAGCAAAGTAACAAAAACAAAATGGTATGAAAAAAAAGAAACACTCAGCACATTGTACAGCACAACCACCTAAATTTTAATAATCCAGTCGGAATGTTTCCCTCGAAAATCATTTTCAGATCCCGCACACTTGAATTTTTAGAAAAAAAACGAAATGCAAACTACAAAAATAATTATATATGATAAAAACTGAGATGATCGAGTTTTTGTAATGCGCCTTTTTAGCAATCTACTATTACGGAAATCTTTTTAAAAATTCAAAGAACGAGCATTGACGAGTTTTACACAATGCGTTTGTGTAACTTTTCTGTATCTATATCTATCTTCATTTCATGTTTGGGCCAATGTTATCTAGAAACTTCTTGCATAGTTTACAGGCCGAGATGCAACTTTGTTAAATACTTCATTTATTAAATTACATCTGATTGATTGAATAATAAAAACAACACTTGTTATTTCATTTTAAACTTAACCTTCATTTAGATAATAAAAAGCAAAGCCAACTTACTAAATCACATTTTCTGCAGAGGCTTGATTCCCAAAATTTGCAATCCTTGCGAGAGCACCAATTTTGACGCCATGAACAGTCGAAGTCTCTGCGAAGAAACATCAGGGGGCTGGTCTTTGACTTGGAGATGATGAAGCGCATGACTAATGTGATTGCTGAAAAGTGGTTTGTAGATATTTCAATTTTCCTAAAGTTTTATTTATTACCTTAAAGTGAACAAATAGTTCACTAAAATGCAAGCCTCCAGTTCTTCGTATGATGCATTGAGAACTTCATCGAACCTTCGAAAATAACATTGAGCTACTTTCTTGCATCGATTTTTAAAAATACCTTCCAAGTTCAATCGCGAGGGCAGTGGCTTGTGGCTCAGACAACAGAGCAGGGTCACTTTCATCTGCAGGCGTTGCGCCACTATTTTCCTCAAGAGAACAAAGGCGGCAGTGTGTGTATTGTAGTCTTATTCCTCCATCTCCTTGCATCTTTGGACAAATTTTCTGTTTAATTAACAAGTCTTGACATCTAAAATGAAATAATACCTGCAAGGCTTTTTCCCAGTCGAATGTATAGTCCCTTTGTCTGCGTTGTTTCAAGTCGTTAATTATCACAGCGCTCACTCCTAAGACGTCAGCTGAATTGCCAGCACTATCAACTCTGGTATCTAGGGTAAAAGATTATTGCATTTCTAAATTTTAAATTATATATGTATACTTTTGGAATTGTCTTGTCTGGATCGAGACCTTTCGCAAGCTTCATCTAAAATATCCTGAAGAAAAACGACCTCTCCTTTCCTCGTACTCATGCCGTGAATTCTTCCGAACTTGACATGAGTAATTCCTTTGCTCCAGGGGAGATTCATGTTTTTTAAAATGTCCTTCAGTGCGATGAAATGGTCCCCCTGCCCATTTTCAACAACATACAGCAACCGATCAAAGTTATGTTGTTGAAATCTGAATTTCGCTGCTGCAACATCCCTGGTGAGATAGAGCGTCGAGCCATCGCTCTTGACTAGAGTCACATCTCGGTTTCCCACTTTCACTATTTTCTTTCCTGTGTTGAAATTAACAAGTTGTAATTAATTAGTAAAGAAAAATATATAAATAGCGGACCATCTGGGGATTTTTTCAAAATATTGATGGACTCCAGCTCTTGAATAATGGATAAAATGTCTTTGGCACTGAACATCGACTCCCACTGATACTCATCAAATGACACTCCCAGTCTTTCATAAGTTCTTCGAAGTTCTTCAATGGTATATGTTCTGAATGTTTCCCACCTCTTTGTTTCAGCGAAATCTCCCTCTTCCATCTGCTTGAAAATGTGCCTTGCTCTTTCCATAATTTCTTTGTCATTCTGGGCCTCCTTATTTGCCAAAACGTAACTCTCGTACAAAACTTGGATCGGGTTCGCAGCAATTTCTTCGTCCGTCACTTGCCTCAACTGCAGTCCAACGTTGAGTAAGCCAAACTGGGTTCCCCAATCACCGAGGTAATTAATTTTTACAACGTCGTGTCCTACACCGGACAGAAGGTTTGAGATAAAATTACCGATGATTGTTGATCGTAGGTGGCCCATGTGAAAAGGTTTAGCAATATTGGGCGAGCTGTAAAAATCACAAATCGTTAATCAATCACCACGGCTGACGTAGTTAAAAATACCTAAATTCAACCAAAATCTTTTCCTTTGCCAAACTGCTGAAAATAGGACTGGTCCTCCAAAAGGATGTTGGCGTCGATATTATCGAGTCAAGGACGTCAGGTATGAATTTGGATTTTTCAAGGGACATAATCAGCTGTGGCACTTTTCCATGCTGAGACACTTCACAGTCTGATATTTTGTTAAATTCATATGAGTCTGCCGATGCAAGTGGAAAGTGAAGTTCAACACTGTCCTTCTTTTTGTTATATTTTAGAGATGATCTTCTCACTGTGGCCGTGGCTGCTGAGTTGTCTAAAATTTTCAGTGCGTCCCAAATCTGAAATGAAAATAAAAAATTAAAAAAAAGCTGAGAAGCAAAAAATTAAAATTCCAAATGCACTGAAAGTATAAGTTTTGAATTTCGTCATGCATCAAAACATAACGATGATTAATTATTTCAATCATTTACAAGCTATGAATTACTTACCTGAGGAATTCTTGCGTCTTTTATTCTAAAAGCCATGGCTCAATATGAACTTTTACAACAACAAAAACCCAGGAAATCCCTGTATTTTTTAGGGTTCAATCAATGAGAGCCGGCACGATTTGTTTGTTTACAAATAATGGGCGTTTTGAAACTTGCCGCCCCGTGCCACGCCCCCTTTTCTCTCGATATGGATTTACTTTTTTTGCATTTCATTGCAATTGAGAGTGTGTAGATTTGGAGATTTAATTTAAAATTAAGATAATGTTATATACACTAGCTTTTATTCTACTTTTCTTTCAAAATCTGAGGTGGTTTAAATTAAAATTCATGTTTTGCGTAGGCTCGATCGGGCTCGATTTTTCAAGACAAGAGGGCCCTGTCGTGACGTCAGTCGAGGGCGGCCGAGTGGGTGCTTCGGGCGTTCGGGTGTCGTCGCTCGCCATTTTCGTCAGTGGTGCCCCGCTCGGTGGAAACAGCAGTTGTGCGAACGACGGTCCCGACAGAGGAGCAGAAGCAAACGTCGCTCTCTGTGCGTCCGCGGTCACTCCGGGGTGTCGATTGAGAGTTAGTGGCCGAGCAAGGAATACTTTTCGGGGCCCCGAGACCGGGCCCGTTTCCGAGTAGCTGCGAATTTCGGCTCCGTAACCATGGCCGGTGTGAAAATGGCCGGACAGACAATCAACGACAGGTTGCTGGCGGCGCGGCACAGCTTGGCCGGTCAGGGCCTCGCCAAGTCCGTGTGTAAAGCCACCACCGAGGAGATGATAGGACCCAAAAAGAAGCATTTGGACTGTGAGTATTAATTATTACATAATTCGGAAAGTTCCCAAAATCCCGCACCGATTCGGTTCCTCCGCAGTTGTTGCCCTCGGGTCACGCACAGTTGGCTCCTCGCGAGTGCATTCGCACCTGAGCAACGAACCTTCCTTCGGCAGGCATCACTTCTTCAAGTATTTATTCTTCCTAACGACAATTCTCGTTTCTCCGGAATCCGCGGCATGCCCCTTTTCTTTTGCTCAAGGAAGGAGGGCGTCGAGACCAACAAACACCATCGATCGGGCATTCGAATGTCAGATTTCGCGGATTTCCCAAAGTACAAGTCAGTCATTCCGTTCTAGACTCCGGAAAACTTGTCCGACTCTTTGAGAGCACAAGCGACGGTTTTGGCATTCAGCCAAATTAAAATTATTGATCGGAATCCGCTAATCAGGCAAAATTTTAACGTTATTGAAAGGGTGATTAAAAATTAAAAAACAATCAGGCAAATTATCAAAACGCAAATATAATAATTTTGAAATTTTGATCATTGAAATGGTTTTGTACGTAAATGTAGCTTTTTTCAAGGCCCTTCTTCATTGGTCAATTTTTATTTATTGTTAGGGAGCAAAACATTGAATTGTTGAAAAAATGGCTCTGGCACTAGCAAAGATTTTTTTAAAATTGCATGATCCAAAAGACCTCAGCGAGCAAAATTATTAAGATATGAAGTTTTTAAAATCTAATTTTAAAATCCATACACATTATGTTTCAAGTAAAATTAAGTAATTAATTAATTGAAGTGATTTGTTGCAAGATCAAGTATAATATTGAGTAAAAAAGTAAGAAGTAATAATATATACTTTTTCACCTGGTTTAAAAATGAATGCATGTGAACATTAACCTTGACATTGGGTTGCTCTTTTGCTCTTACCAAAATAAAATGCAGAATTTAAAGTTCTGAATAAGTTATAGAAATCTATATTCGATCAACTATTCCATTACATTTTGCTTGAAATTTGGATTATTAAATGGGCAATTAATACAAAAATGGAAGTTCTGCTTTTAATTCAGTTTCTTTCATCTTAAAAAATAGTCTTCTTGGAAAAATTCAATAGATTCTCGTCCATATAAATTTGTACTTATTTCCTTAACGCTTATCAGCAAAGGAAATTTGGTGATTATTCTTTATTCCTGTTCTTACTCCATATTTCCCTAAAAACATGACAACAATAACTCACTGCATAACGGCGCTTTTCCTCCTCACACTGTGAGAGTTTTAAAGCAGCTTGAGATGTTTTTAAATTTTTTTTACTGATAACAAAAACCTATGCGTACAACAGTGAATGCGTTAGACGTTTTATCAGTCTTGCTCCTGAGTAATTAGAATTAATGCATACGTACTTGCGCCACGTGCGATTGGAATTAAGATTAAGTTGCAGTCCGTTGTTTACGGTGGTGCATCAAGAGCAATTTCTCCAGCGGAATGCGAGGGGAATTCCTAAATTAAATAATATCCTGTTTACAATAATACTATTTATATAAAATTTAAAAATCTTAAACTTTTTTTCATTCTTTAATAAGCCTAAATTTTTATATCGATAACCTTATCTTCATTTAAAACATCTGGATTTTTTGTCAAATAAATATTCAAAATCAAAATAAAACGAGACAATTTTGATATCTACACTGTAAATAAAACTTTTCAACATTTTCTATAACTTCGATGTTTATTTTTTTATGTCGCCTGACCTATTGATTTCAATTTTCCATCTTAATTCAGGTGATTTGAACGTGGTTTGCTGAGATTTTTAAATATAAGTTTTGATCGTGCCAATTTTGAGAAAAAAAATTGTTTTTAAAAATTTTCATAAGAAACAATGCTAAACTAACAAATAATAATAATAATATTAAATAGAATCAATTTTCTTAATATGTCTTTTTGGAACTGAAATCTACAATCCAATTTTTATGTAGAGAAAATTAACATCAAAATTATTCGGGCTAAAATGATTTTAATGAAAGTTTTGCGGTAATTAATTATGATCTTGCAATTTATTAATAATTTTAAATTAAAGTAAAAAAAAAAAACCGAAACAGATCGTTCAAACATTCGAATAATATTTTTTGCACATGTACTACGATTCCATATTCAAAAATGTATTTTGCATACATGAACAAAATGCACTTTTGCAACAAGTGACAAGGTTGCCGGCCGCAAATCAGCACCGCTCGCAGCTTCCTGTTTTTGAAAGCGAAGGTTGTCGGTCGAAACTTGCGCGTCGCAAATCGCTCGCTGGATTTCTGTCAAAGGAAATCCAAAACTACCCGCTTCGTTCAAACAGACAATGGGCAGAAAGCAAACCAACTCCGATCCGCCTCCAATTTTTCTCCTCGGCGGCGAGGCAAAGGTCAAACCACATCACAAGCGGCGTGTTTGGGGATAGGAGAGCCCGACCATCGCTCTGATGAATAGAAGGAGATTCAGATGCGCAACTGACACACGCGCGTTTATTGTTTCCCTGGCAGCGAGGGCCAATTTAAAGAGTTGAAACGATTCTTGTTCATATCACATCTCGTTAGTTGACGATCTTAGAACTTGCTGACAAAATTTGAAATTTTGAACTAGAAAAGATGTAAATTATAATAGTGTAATAAATAATCACTCAAACCATCTTATAGTTTTTTAAATTTGAACTAATATTGGGTCAAGGTCCACGCATCACAACAATGCGAGTGCACAATTTGAATGATTTGATTTGGTACAACCTTTCTTGTACGAAATCAGAAGGAGCTCAAACAATAACCGTTGTTTTGATACTGAAACCCTGGATCAGATTGTATTGTTTCTGAACTATTTTAATTCTTCCCTGTGAACAAAATCAAATTAAATACATAGGGTGGAAATTGAGATTTTTCTATCAATTTCCATGCAACAAAGTTTTCATAAAACCTTTTGATGTTTTTTTTCTATGAGTTAACAATCACTGGCCATCATTTTGATCTATGATTGTGAGTTTAACCTCTGACCTGGTTCTTAATTCTTGAGTGCGAATACTAATGTTAGAAAATTAATTCCAGTTTAGATAATTTCCTTTATTATTGTAATTAAAATATTATATATTTAATAAGATGCAAATATTTTAAGATGTTCAGTTTCTGGGGAAAACAAAGCTTCTACTTTTCTTTTTTTGTAAAGAAATTTTAATGTGGACTCAAAAACTGAGCTAGAAAACCAATGCTTGGAAAACAAATTAAACTGTTAGAAAACCTGAAACGGGAATAAACGTAGCAAGGCAAACACAACACAACTCTGCACTATAAAAATTACAAAAGAAAAAAAATATACACATACTAAAAAATTAAAGGCAATTTAAGTTTCCATTTAAATTTGCAATCCTCTTTATTGTGCGCCCCCTTTTTAAGCAATAAGTTTGTTCCAATTTTATGTTTGTTAACAACAAGACCTCATTTTAAAAATAAACAAAAAGTTTCAATGTTCTTTATTTACATCAATTCACGCTGCGTTATTTGCTGGGGTGTGCCATTTACTGCGAGAAAGAAACCGCCTTTTGAATGCAATTTATTTCCTCCCTTTGGCGCTTTTTGCTTGAAACCCTTTGGCATCGGCTAGCGTCGCGGTGACACCAATCCACTCGGCGGCGACACTCGTATGGCAAAATAAAACGCCCGCGATTGATAAAAAGAAGCGAGACGTCTCGGGATCTGCGGCCAGAGTGGGCCGACGACTGATAGCAAAATTATCTCACTTGCCTTTATTACACCCACTCTCGAGCGCACTGCATTGTTCGGAAGTTTCAGCCGTGCTCTCAACGATGCACGCTTTTGTAATTCTAAACCGCTCCGATCATCGGACACTCAACTTAGTTAGGATGGAATGCGACCTTTGAGTGGGATTGTGGACGCAGAGAGATGCACTTTTGGCTCTTAATTGAATTGTGGAAAGTGTTGTTGACCTTCAAGTCTGAATGTAAAAATTGTTTGACTTAATAGAATAAAATCTTGTTTCCTCCGTCATGGGGTTTTAAAATAAAAAAAGTAGCCAATTGTTATAAAATATCATCTAAAAATTAACAGTGAGTACAAATAAGTTCCACAACAACTTTAAAAACCTCTAAATATTACTCTTTAGAAAATTTGCATACATATTTTATTCTGATTAAAATATAACAGTGTTTTTTTTCTAATGAACTTAAAGTTTTTTTCATCTTTATTCTCAACGTAAAAATTATTAATTTATAAACACAATTCCTTATCATATTAAAATTAACCTTTAAGATATGCTGGCAAATTACTGGTATTAATTTAAATTTCCATTTTTTTTTTAACCACCATCTTGACTGATATTTTGCGGTAGGCCGATAAAGAAATTGCAAAATGATCGCGCGTCATTTTGCGAGCGCGCCCCGGCAAATCCAGCTCGCCAACTGCGCAAATTTGATGAAGTGCAGATGATGCTGGCAACGCGTCCTCCCCGCTTTTCGACTCAATCTCGGATTTCACGGCGGCGGATGGCCTGCCTGCTCGCTCAACTCTCGCTCGGTTAATCATTTTGATAAAGGAGTCGAGTTTCTTTCCTCGCAGCATTGTTGTCCTACAGAACCGGCATTATCTTTTCGTGCACACAAGCAACGTTGAGTGGAAGTGTCACATGACCTTTCAAATGTTGTTTTAAATAATTTCATCGGGTTTCCAAAATTGTAATTATTATTGATGCTTGGTCGGATTGATATATTCATAGTTGACCTGAATAAATTATATTCTGCTTGAGCATCAATTTCAATAGCAAATTCATGCTCAAAAGGATTAACATGCAATTATCCTCCAATCACTTTGCTCAATTGGCTAGATTTTTCCCCTGATTCACTTTTGCCACAAATTTCAAGTTTGCATACTCCATCGGACGGAAGGCTGTGCTTATTTTCCAAAGTGGTCTCTAATGTAAGTTGGTGATGACTCACAAGCATACATCATCCTTTGTCCTCAAGAGGATACTTTCGGCCACTCACTTTCGA